AAATCAATTTTTATATTATAAACCTTATAATAAGTTATAAGAAAATATAAACTTTAAAGAGCTATACTGTAAAATTTATTAATATAACTACTTATGTGTCTTAAATGAAAAGTGATTCTAATCTTATTCTAAATTAATTTATATAAAAAATTACTTTTAAAAAAAATGTCAATTTGGTCTCTTTTCTCAGCACCTAGCCTATATAATCTATCTTTTTATTTATAATGCTTAACGAAATTATATATTATTCTATAATAATAAATATATCCTAATCTTTTTGCAATTATATTTCTTAACTCTAGAGTATAAATAAATAAATAATAACTATAAGTACAAAACATAAATATTGAATAATTTAGCAATATATTATAATATTAAACATAAAAATAGTGAAATAAAAACAGTTTACTGAACATCATTTCAATAAAATTAAGTGTTTATATACAAAACAGATCTCCAGAATTTGGTTTTCATTTACTTTTTTAGTGAAAATAAATTGGAGTAGATTATTGTAGATTATTTAAACTAAACATTTTCTATAACCTATTTATGTATCTATTTGCAAGTTTGTAATTATAAATTAAATAAATAAAAAATTTTCAAAGAGTGGTTACAAAATCATACACAAAAACTAATTAAGTGTAAAAACTGATATGTAGATTATTCTAGAATCAGATTTTCTAATTTGGTATATCCCTTAATTGCTATTAGATGCGCTTGATAAGCTTTACAACTTTTGTTAAAAGCTCATAGATGATTTACTTAATAAGAAAAAAGTTTTCCTTAGATGAATACCACATTTCCGTCTTAAAAGATTTATATATAAAACTGAGTTGCATTTTACTATAATAATTCTTCAGTTTATTGAAGGATTATTAATTAAAATTATTGCTTCTATATATGGGCCGTCAAAAGTAAAAACTAAGAAATTTGACAATTTTTTGAAAATTAACCTGTTTAATTGATCAGGTGTAAAATTTAAAGCTTGATCTTTTTTATTTAATAATAAAAGTCTGATCACTTAATAAATTTTTGCAATATAACGGTTAAAAGCTTTTGACACTATAATCTAAAAATAGATTTACTGAGATTTACTATGCAATCTACAGTTTTACAGATCTAATAATCTTGTTTAAACAGGTTTTTTAATATTGAGTAAACTAGTAGTATATTTCTATACAAGTTGGGACAGAAACCCTAACCGTCGTCATTCGAGTGATGAACATTTTGCATTTGCTTCGTCAAAGATGCATTCTGCTTTTCAATCATCTCTCGAAGCCTTTCTTTTATACTGACAGAAACCCTAACCGTCATCATTCGAGTGATGAACAATTTATGCTTGTGTCGTCAGAGATGAAATATATATAGCATTCTGCTTTTTGATCATCTCTCAAAGCCATTCTCTATCTAATTTGACTACTAATTAGCTTTCTAACACTAAGGAGCATACACCAAAGGGTATGCGACGCAGTAGCGGAGCGAAGCGAAGCATAGTTATCTTATTTGATTTTTATTTGGCTTTCTATCCTGGAGGAGCACAGCGACTCCAAATGTAGAGCATAGCAGAGTATAAAAAGCTTATTTGTTTACTAAATATGTATAGCATTCTGCTTTTTGATCATCACTCAAAGCCTTTCTATCAATAGCAAAAATTATAAAAAAGTTGGACAAAGCTCTAACCAAAAAGTTGGGACAAAATTAGTTATATTATATACTTATAGAAAACCTAACCGAAATATGTATAGCATTCTGCTTTTTAATCATCACTCGAGGCCTTTCTTTTATACTGACAGAACAAAAAGTTGGGACAAAATTAGTTTTATTATCTACTTATAGAAAACCTAACCAAAATATATATAGCATTCTGCTTTTCAATTATCACTTAAAGATAGCAAAAATCATAAAAAAGTTGAAACAAAACTCTAACCAAAAAGTTAAGACAAAACTCTAACCAAAAAGTTAGGACAAAACTCTAACCAAAAAGTTGGGACAAAACTCTAACCAATTTTATATATAATTTTTCTTAAGATGTTTCTGAAAATATCTAGAAACATAAAACCCTCTAATATGTTTAGGGCAACGACCAGAAATAGAACGAGTAGTTTACCACATTCAGAGCAGGGATTATGAGGAAAGCTTTATAATGAAAACAGCAACCCTCAGGGCGAGTACTATGACGCATATAAATTTCACCAGAATAATTAACAAAAGAGCAAGTATACATAGTACTTATTTTTATATAAGGTAAAAATTCAATTTAAACAATTTTCTATAAGTAAATAATAAAACTTTAGATTTATATTTACCAAACATTATATATATTTAAATGTCAACTACTACTCAATCTACTAATCAACTATCTTTAGAGGTCGAAACCTCTTTTCCATCATGGCAAGATATCGAAAAATCAATAATTGATATATTGAGAGCAGGAAACTTTTATAACAAGGATAGAAATAAAGGATTCATGGATTATTATAAAAAGCAACTTGATGAATTGTATAAATCAGAAAATCAAGAGCAATATATTATAATCAAAGCCAGATCACTTCTTCTCAATGAAGAGATATATGATACAAAAATAAAGGCGTTTTCTAATTCTTATTATAAAAGTGAACCAAAAATCAAACAAGCTATTTTAAACTATCTTAAACTAATTCACAAAATCGCTAAAGAGTACTTTATAACAGAAGAGGAAAGAGAAGAGGAATTTCAAGCATGGCTTAACTCATAAGCACCCACTGAGGAGGTAATTGCACATCTTTTATAATTAAAAGCTCTTCTTTAACAAAAGATTGCTTTGGTCCATTGCCTTCATCATCTTCGAGCCAATATAAGATAGGCTGATTTTTTGCACCAAAGATTCACAAATATGATAAACTTGAGGTGACCAATTGCAATCAGTTGATCTTTTACTTCCACCT